TCTTCTGGTATTTTAGTGTACATTCCAAGATGTTTTGTCCAGATAGGGCTTGTAAGTACTTGTAATACGCAAGTTTCAAGATTATCTCCCTTGGTGCGCTCTTTCGCTGAGGAGGGGAGTTTGGTTTCCGCGTAAACAAACAGGTGGGACAGATATTTATTATTGAATATATCGCATCATCGATATACTGGTTTATCGTAACTATATAATTGTAAGGATGCACTGTTCAACTCGAGAATAACTGAATTAAAGTAAAAGTGTCATTTTTTTAAAGCGAAAGATCGGAACAAAAAAGAAAATTCTGTTGATATGAGACTTTTCAGACGAGGGAAGAGATATGGACCTCTTATAAATACGGTAAACATGAATCTGATCATTACATGTCGGCAATCTAAATGACACATTGATTTTTTTCCCTTATTATTACTTTTAAAAACCCACTAACGTTTTTGAGAATGTTTGTAAAATCAAGAAAATCTTTTACTTTTTATAAAGACCACGACGTTTATTTCGTTTTCAAGTACCCTATAATTGAAAGTAGATATGTAAATATACACAGTTGAGCTTGATAAAATCATAAAATGCATCACTGCTTAACACTTTTATCTTTCTATAACATTAAATAATTTTTAAAAGCCATAAACATCGTTCATTTATTTATGCAAGTTTGTATACATAAACAAACTGTCCCACCTCCATGCTGAAATGGATACTTTTTGCGCCCCTATCGCAGGAGAGTTACAATCTCGAAACTCGCGTATTGACATTGGCCTGTTTGTGTGTGCCAAACCTTACAAGTATATATGTAAGAATGAAATTCAGAGTCTGATTTAACTAAGTTCATGACTTTGAGAAGTGTTATCTTTTTTAATGATTTTACATAAAAAGTAGAATAACACAGAACTGAAAAATTAATTCAGAATGTTTATCTTATTAGTCCGAAATATCTGATATTTCAAGGTTTTTTCATGATTTAAATATTTTGGCAGTAAAACGTCAGAACCGGCGCCATTACGTTCTTGACGTTTTCCTGGAACGTAAAATATCAAAATCATGAACAAAGCCTGAAACGTCAGATATTCTGGACTACTATCTGATATGATAGCTTATATACGAGGGTTGATCCAGATGTTCGTAAAATTTCTTTCCAAAGTTTTATCGTGATTTGATTAAAGCAAAAAATAGGCATATTTAAAATAGAGTTTTTATGCAACAATACTGGAAAAAATATCCAAGTTCCAATTACCAATAAGGACACACGAGCTTTCTGAACATGGATAGTCTTAAAATCCGGGAGAGACTTCGACGTAAGGTCAAGTATGTCACGTCATACTGTTGGAGTATCTCATCCTCATGTCAAATTTGACAGAATATGCCACAATTCCCCCATTTTTTCTCAAGAAAAGCCTGGGTATTCTCTCGAACCGACCTTTCTTCATTTTAGACTCATATTTTAAAAATACTCCATATGATATTTTAATTTCAGTAACAATGTCAAGCACAGTACCCCTACGTCAGTGGTCAACGTCCTTTAACGCTTAGTTTGTGTTTGGCTTTGACTCAGAAAAGCTAAAAATATGAAGATATTCCACAACTTTTGGATCAACCCTCGTACAATAGGTCCTGAAAAATAACATTTGAGATTGGATTACTGAATGGAAATCTGAAAAGTTTAAATAGAATAAATTGAAATATATTTTATTTGACACTTAAAGGGGTTGGGTGGTTGTGGCCATTTTTAGACTATTTTGATCTCCTTTAGAAGAAGAGCTCCATATAAAAATATAACAAAATAATCAAATTTTAAAACAAAAATTTATGAAATTTTTCTTTGCTAAATGATAGTTGACAGCTTAAGATATCATATCCCAAAATTTAAGTTATATCTGGGGGTTAATAAAAAGATAGGTTGTTGACCTTCTAGCCTCCTTAACATCAATTATGTGTATTATTCTAGGATCATACTAATGAGTGGGCAATACTTGTGTCATTTTATTAAAAAGATGATCCTTCATATAAGGAAATAAATCTAAATAGACTTGCACAAACTTGTGTAATTTTCTTTTTTTTTTTGACCTAGCATGAGTGTTTTAATAACCTTTGACATATAAAAAAAATTACATCCAGATTTTGAACTCTTGCAACTTAGATAAGTAATATCGATTTATGGACCATTACTAAATTTTCAAATGTTCTTTTATTAGTATTGCTTTTCGTCTTTTATTAGAATTAATTTTTTTGTCTTTGAAAAAAACATATATTTAAAAAGACAAATCTAGCTATTTTGAAATTTTTTATGCAATATGATTAAAAAACAACAGGGGAGCCAATATGGGCAAATAAGAAATTCAAGAAATAAAAATTTCCATTTCTGTCCAAATCAATATATACCTTATATGTAATTAATGAAAAATATGCATAGTATACTGAAAAAATACGAATAAAATGTACGTACACATTCCTTAGTATAACAAGAAGAATATTTATAATTTATTACGAGGATCTCATCAAGAAATGTTTAAAAAAAAGAAACAAAAAGGTTCCATGCTAAATATATGTTCTGGTACTTTAGTGTACATTCCAAGATGTTTGGTCCAGATTGGACTTTTGGAATGAATCCGGATGTTCACTCCTCCATGGCACCTGATCCCACCTCTGATGTTTTCGAGGTCTGTGTTTGCTTTGCTCCTATTTTGTACTCATTTATGGACTTGGAGACTGAATACTGTTTGTTATCTCCATATCCTTCTCTCAGCCCAAAAAACTTGAGCCTGTTTAGTCGCATTGAAGATGAAGGTCAGTTACAGCATGTGGAACAAGTCTGGTTGTGAGCATGAGTTAAGATCAAGTAGTATTTGAATGTTTGTGTGTGCCAAACCTTACCAGTATGTAAGAATGAATTTTAGAGTCTTATTTTACTAAGTTCATTACTTTGACAAGTGTCAAATTATTTTATATGATTTATATGATTTTATATAAGAGCATAACACAGGACTAAAAAATATTAATTTAGAAGATTTGATTAGGCAGAATATAATATGACTTTTCAAGTCCTTTTTCACGATTTTGATAATTTACCTGCCATAAGAACGTCAAACCAGGCGCCATTACGTACGTTCTTGACGTTTTCCTGGCAGGAGAAATATCAAGATCATAAACAAAGTCTGAAACATCAGATATTTTGGACTACTATCTGATATATTATATATATACGTACAATAGGTCCTGAAAAATAACATTTGAGATTGGATAACTGACAGGAAATCTGCGAAGTTTAAATAAATAAATTCAAATATTTTATTTGACACTTAACATCAAATTTATGTATTATTCTAGTGTCTGGTATCAACTAATGATTGGGCAATATAATTCTAAAAAAGATGATCCTTTATTAGGAAATAAATCTAAATAGACTTGTGCAAACTTTTGTGAAACATTTTTTGACCTAGCTTAAAAATCTTGACAACCGATGACAATTCATAAAGGAAATGAGAAACAACAATTTTGCTTTTTTTCCTCTACGTACCCGGAAATTTCATCTAACAATAGATCGTTAGACTTTAAAGCTAGACTTCTCGACAGACTGTACTAGGAAGGCCCAATAAACCTTGAGCTTTGCTAATTGCTTGATTAAAAAGAAATGAATGCATTTTCCCACTCTTTAAGGAGAACTGGCTGTCTGATAAGAGAGATAACTTTTTAAGTAAAAAGAAAACCAATTTGACTTTTATTTCCAGTTTACCAGTTTATTAATATCTCTTTGGTTGTTATTTAACAACATCAAGATCAATGCAACATATTATTACAACATATATACATACATGCGTGAGCAGAACATATAACATATATACAAAGTGCGTTTATAATCACGTATTTCCATATAATAATTGTATATATCGATGTTATTAACCTGGAGGTTTAACTCTCTCGTTTACAAATTTTATAAATGATAACATTTGGTCTTGAAAAATAATATTTGGATATATACAATTTTCTTTCATCTTTTAACTTATCACAGCATAAAATATAGTGAAATTCGTCACCAACATCATTTTTACATAAAAAACATATTCTATTAACTCTTTCAGTACCTTCCCATCTTCCCGTTTCAATTGGTAGTTTATGATTTGATGTTCTGAATCTAGCTAAAATTTGTTTCTTATAATTACTTAAGACGCTATCTACATAAAATTGACATCCAAAGTTTAAATTTGTAAATAGACTATATGTCACACCTTTTGAAGAATCATTACAGGTTGATTCCCAATTTCCCAATTTTGTTGAAACTGATCTAGTAATTTTTGTTTCAGACTTTTAATAAGCCAAGCTCTATTAAATAATTGATTCTGATTCCAAATATTACTATATCCACAATCGTCTAAAATTGATTTCAAATTCTTTAACCATTTAGATTCATGTCCATTATCAAATTTTGCACGAAGTAATTTATACATTAAAAAACAATATTTTGATTGTTTTCCATGTAAAATTTTTGACCAGTATGCAATAATTCCAGTTTTGATATGTACAATTAAAGGTACTCTACCTAATTCAAGCCGCTTGAATGTATATATTCTCCGAAGTCGAAAGTTTGTGCTAGAATAGAACGATGGGTGCTGCGAATGCAACCATACACATTTAAAGTTCGGTACATTCCTGGTCCAAGGAATATCGCAGATACACTTTCGCGTCTTGTTAAGAATGACCCTGCTCAAAAGTCGCTTGATTTGGAGGATGCTTATGTGAGGTTTGTAGCTAAAGAAGCTACCCCGATGGCGATGACAACACGTGAGATCGAGAGAGCGTCAGAGAATGATCCAGAACTGTGTGCTATAAGAGAGTGTCTTGTAAGCCAGCAATGGCATCGTATGGAATTTAAGCAATATTTGCCAGTGCGTACTGAGTTGTGTTCAATTGGTAAGTTAGTATTGCGTGGTACGCGAATTGTTATACCCTTACAGTTGCGTAATCAGGTTCTTGAGCTTGCGCATGAAGGCCATCCTGGCATTGTTGCAATGAAATCGCTGCTTAGAAGTAAAGTATGGTGGCCGGGGTTAGATAAAAGTGTTGAAAAATTTTGCAAAAGTTGTTATGGTTGCCAGTTAGTGGGTCAACCGAGTAAACCTGAACCGATGAAGCGCACTGAATTGCCTTCCGCACCATGGCAACATCTTGCCGCTGATCTTTTAGGGCCGTTGCCAAGTAAAGAGTATATATTTGTGCTTGTAGACTATTACAGTCGATATTTTGAGGTCGCGATTACGAAAAATATTTCGTCAGAGAACATAACAGGTCTCATATCGAAGTTCTGTTTAACTCATGGATTGCCGTATTCAATCCACGCCGACAATGGTCCACAGTTTGTTAGCGAACATTTTAAGAATTACATGTTTGAAAATGGCATAGTTCATCATAAAACAACTCCCCTATGGCCACAGGCAAACGGCGAGGTTGAGCGGCAGAATAGGTCAATTATGAAACGTGTTCGAATTGCGGTTGCCGAAGGCCGAGATTGGAAATCTGAACTTGACAAATTTCTTGTGATGTATCGAAATACTAGTACACCACATTCGACAACTGGTGTTTGTCCGTCTCAGTTACTTTTCGGGCGTAAACTCCACACGAAGTTGCCTGAGCTTTTTGACTATAATGTTGATGACCTTGAAGTACGCGACCGCGATGCGGAAAAGAAGGAGAAGGGTAAAATGTATTCAGATAAACGTCGTATGGCAGCCGAAACCGATATTCGTGCAGGTGACCAAGTTCTTGTGAAACAAGACCGTGAAAATAAGTTGTCTACTCCATTTAACAGGTCACCTTTTAAAGTTGTTAAGATGAATGGCAACAGTGCAATTGTTGAATCAGATCAAGGGGTACAATACAAGCGAAATGTTACTCATTTAAAGAAATTTAATGAGAGAGAGATTGAGAGTATGTGTACATCAAATGATTTACAATGTAATGAGTCACAATCTATTGTTGATGATGAAGTTCTTGATGATAACTCTGAAATGAAACTTGATACAAATGCTGATAGTAAGTCAGAGAGTGATTGTAGTTCTGCACCTGTTAATGTTGCAAATGATGCAAGTGTCCAAAATACTGATCTGAATGTCAATCAACGACCTGTTAGAAACAAGAGACTTCCGTCAAGATCTGAAGGATTTGAAATGTATTAATGGAAAACTGTGTGTGAACTCTGGATCATGTATTGACTATTCCAAATGTACTATGAACTGAGTGTGCATTTAATATTCATGTTTTCACCATTTATGTTTGTTATATTTCTTTGGAAAATAATCATATGATTTCTGTTGATACTAAGTAGTATGCCTTAAGCATGTTAAGTGTGAATTGTATTAGATAGTTCTGGCTGAAAATTATGTTTCTGAGCGAGAAAGGAAGGGATGTAGAGTTTGTAGTTTTGTGTAATTACTTTATGTACGGAAGATAACTCTATCTTGTATGCGTTTCTATATGTAGAGTTATTGCCCTTGTCTTTGTCTTAGTTCCGGTTCAATAAATGGATGTTGTCTTCAATGACGAGTGTTTTATAATCTGGTTTAATCCGAATGTGTAGCCGGTGGAACGCTACAGGAGCCTGAAAGTTTTGTGTATACAGTGTGCGTGTTTTGTGTGTACAGTTATCACATGATTATGAAACCCGTTTATCGATCGCGTATTGACCTGTATACATTAGTGAGGTCAACATTACCGCTCTTTGATTTTTACTTGAGTCCTAGATTTAAGATCAAGAAAATATGTCATTTGCGCTAATCGTAAGAATATTTCTACACACAAATATAAAGGTTTTCTTGAACATGATTTAAAAGTGTTGAATGTCGGATTCTATTCTTTGACGAATGAATAAAATGTGCTGCGTTACCCGCGCTTTTCTCATCTGCTGAGGTATCTATGGACGAGTTCATCGGTTACACTGAAGGGTGACACAGGATGACCTATCGATGACTCTGCCAAATTTGATAGTGATTTTAATTGCACATGTACATAAATTAAAGTTAAATTCTACCCTTGTGAAGTCCATTATAGTCTTGTTATTTAAAAAAATGGGGATATCAATACTGCAACTTGTTTTTGATTTGTACGGATGATTCTATTATTGGAAAGGTACACATGTAGTACGAGGATTTTTTAGACCCCGTCTCCCCTCCACTTTGAAGTAATTGCAATCGTTATATGTATACAGGCCTATATCAAGTTATTCAAATTGCTTTATATCAGAAAAATTTGCGATGTTGTTTAAATTAGCAAATACAAATAAACATGGCAAATGCGCACAGTAAATTGTAAGTGGAAGTGACGTTTCCAATACTCATGAGAATCGAAAATTAAATGAAGCAACTTTGAGTTTTGCTTGAATTGATACATAACTTATAATTGTATTGTACCGAATGTATTTCTTTTATTTCCTCGAATAAAAAAGAATATCACTTTGACACGATTTTACGGGTACATGATTGTAACTAAGTACATGCTGTTTTACACGGAGGAGCCCCCAAAATATATACATTCCGAGCTTTCAGAATACGAGAGAAAAAAAATTGAATAATTAGACATTTTTTAACAAATGCAATGTAGTTGCATACAAATATTCCAAGCCATTCTTTCGTGTTAATTGGATTAAAAGAGATTATCAAAATTTCCTCTCATCGCGATACGTAACCCCCTTCCCTCAAATGATACTGTCCTCTACAAAAATTTGAATTTTTCAATTAAAACTTATTTGTCATATACAAGTTTTAATTGAAAAATTCAAATTTTTGTAGAGGACAATACAATGTTTTCCTTCAGAGTCGAGAATGTCAATTGGTTAGTTTGTTCAGCTAATACGTAGAGGTCAGGACTGGTGTTGAAATCCATGATTAATCCATAACCTATTATAATGTTAACCAATAGTCATACGTGACATTTTTTTTTATTCGCAGGTAGTCAAATAAATGAAAAAAAGATTAGTATGCGTCACTAAACTTTCCTATATATAAACGTTTTAATTTCTAAAACTTGTGCCGACTAGAGTGTTCAATCGAGCATCGAAGTGTGTACATGTACTACATGTATTAGTTTCTTTTGGTAATGGGAGGTACCAGTTTTTGCTGCATTTGATTTCCGGAATTTTGCATTGCATTTCCGACACTTAATAATTTCTACACTGTAACATTCATTATTTTCATTCTGGATTTTACACTATATTTCAAGCAATTTAAGGTTAACAAAGAAGATGAAATCATTATTTTAATAGAATATATTTGGTTAAAGTAACACAACTGAACTTGTGATGAAAATTTATTAAACGAAAGTCAAGCAATAAAAAGTTAAAGTTTGTATTTTGAAAAATAAATCAGATCAAGTCACAGAAAACAAAGACAGGTTGTAAAGCTCAGACACCGACACACACACACAAACGTTTTGGTTACTCGGAATAGTCCAGAGTAAAACTATATTTTCTTGATGACGGAATGTCCAGTACATCTAATGTTCACGTCCGGGATCGTCCACGGCGGATCTAAAAACTGACTCTCTCACATAACAAACGGGATTCACTCAAATTTCAATTAACACATTTACTCAATTTATATCATACATACAAGTCAGATGCTCTTTGATGTAGAGGATTGACACTAATTCCTTAGATAAATACTGAGTGACAAATTCCTTTTTACTATTTAAACTCAAATTGATAGGTAAATAATTTAAGCATATGTCAAAAAAAAGCATTAAAAATAATTCTTTTCATAAAATTGAATTCTGTTTAAACAATATAAATCACTAGCAGCGCAAAGACAGACTTAAAAAAAATCAGAGGTGGAATCAGGCGAATTTAATCCTTTTATGACACCACCTACCCCGTAACGAGACGGGGTTGTGTATACCGGTATGTTCTCATCGAAATGACCGGTCTCCGCGTCTTGAACCTCCAACGTACATGCATTGCATGTACTTGAATAATATGTATTAATAAGTCTTTAAGGAAATCTGATGTAGGAAACCTGATTTATATTCTAATATTTTCTAATTTGTTTTATTATTCGTACTTCTCAATTTATCATGTTCAAATTACATGTATTTATTTTTTTAAGGAATATTAAACCTTATTCGTCAGCCAGTCTGTCCATCTGCCACGAGAACTTTAAACTTGATAATAACTATTGAATGAGTTGAAACAGGACGTTGATGTTTCACGTGTGCATTATTTGTGACATCTGATTTTCAAATATACTGTGATTTTTGACCCTGTGACCTTGATCTTGGAGCTTGACCTACTTAAAAAAATAACATTACTTTAAATTGACCATAACTTTTGAAAGCTGCCATTTTATAAAAATGTATTAACTGTGACAACACCTTTCAAAATTCGCTGATTTTTTACCCTTTGACCTTGAAGTTTGACCTACTTTTCAAAAACATTAACAATACTCATTCCTTTTGAATAAGAAGAGATATGGCTTTTATTTTATCCCTGTGTATTACCTAAGACAACTCTTTTCTAAATACACTGACTTTTGACAACTTGACCTTGAGGCTTGATCAAAACTTTTTAATGAGGAGAGATAGGGCTTTCATATTACACAAACATCACATGTATGTAACCTGTGATAAAATCATTTCAAATACTAGTATATCATGAACTTTGACCTTGAAGTTTATCCGGCTTTTCCAAAATTTAAACATTGCTTAAAATTGATCATAACTTTTTCACGTGTATATTAGCTGTGACAAGGCCTATCTAAAAAAAAAGGTATGGCTTAAATCATGCAGTGTGTTCTGGCCTTGAATCAAGGTCATTTAGGATAAGATATTTTGGCTGGATGCATTGTTTGAAAAAAAAAAACATGTGTGAATTTGTCAATACGGTAGCACACAAATGGGATATGCTCATCACCAGCGTGTGTCATGGTGTGACCCAAGGTCATTTTGAAAAGGTCAAGGTCGCAAACATTCCTTTACTATCCTTTTTTAATAGTAAAACATAATAAGATGATATCTACCCTTAAAAGATTGCTTTAACATTAGAACGTGGCATGACCTTGACTCAAGGTCATTTCTCTCTGTCCGTAGGTCCGTTGCTTTGCAACGAGCTCGGCTCTAGTTAGAACTAATTTTTTTGTCTTTGAAAAAAAAAAATATTTAAAAAGGTAAATCTCGCTATTTTGATTTTTTTATGCAGTATGATTCAAAAACAACAGGGGAGCCGATATGGGCAAATAAGAAAATTCAAGAAATAAAAATTTCCATTTCTGTCCAAATCAATATATACCTTATATGTATTTAATGTAAAATATGCATAGTATACTACAGAAAATACGAATAAAATGTACGTATACATTCTTTAGTATAGTAAGAAGAATATTTATAATTTATTACGAGGATCACATCAAGAAATGTTTTTTTAAAAACAAAAACAAAAAGGTTCCATGCTAAATATATATGTTCAGGTACTTTAGTGTACATTCCAAGATGTTTGGTCCAGATTGGACTTTTGGAATGAATCAGGATGCTCACTCCTCCATGGCACCTGATCCCACCTCTGATGTTAATTTTTGAGGTCTGTGATTGCTCTGCTCCTATTTTGTACTCTTTTATGGACTTGGAGACTGAATACTATTCGTTTTCTCCATATCCTTCTCTCAGCCCTAAAAACTTTAGCCTGTTCAATTGCATTGAAGATGAAGGTCAGTTACAGCATGTGGAACAAGTCTGGTTGTGAGCATGAGTAAAGATAAAGTAGTATTTGAATGTTTGTGTGTGCCAAACCTTACAAGTATATATGTAAGAATGACATTCAGAGATTTATTTTACTAAGTTCATGACTTTGACAAGTGTTTTATTTTATATGATTTGCATCAAAAAGAGCATAACACAGGACTAAAAAAATTAATTTAGAAGATCTGATTAGTCCGAATAATCTGACTTTTCAAGTCCTTTTTCACGATTTTGATAATTTACCTGCCATGAGAACGTCAGACCAGGCGCCATTACGTACGTTCTTGACGTTTTCCTGGCAGGTAAAATATCAAGATCATGAACATGTAGTCTGAAACGTCAGATATTTTGGACTACTATCTGATATATTATATACGTACAATAAGTCCTGAAAAATAACATTTGAGATTGGATTACTGACAGGAAATCTGAGAAGTTAAAATAAATAAATTTAAAT